CTCCCAGCTGGATAAAGAAGCCCTATCAGTTATATTTGGCGTCAAGAGGTTTTATCAGTACATTTGGGGCAACTATTTCGAAATACAAACCGACCACAAACCACTGATATCCTTGCTGAGAGAGTCAAAGGGAATCGAACAGATGTTTTCTCCGAGAATGCATTAATATTAAGTACATATAAATATCGAATCTCGTATATTCCTGGGTTGAACAATCATACAGCGGATGCATTAAGCAAGTTATCACATGCGAACACAGACGAAATACTGGAGGAACCAGTAGAGCTTGTAAATCTAATGCAACACCTCGACACCACTCCATTGAAAGGTGACACCATACTTCAGTGGACCGATCGTGACCCAACGCTATCTTCTATAGTGGGATTTACGAAAACCGGCTGGCCTACTGCAGTTCCCGTCGATCTTAAACCTTACGCACAACGGAAAAATGAATTGAGCCTTCACGATGGATGCCAGTTTTGGGGATCCCGCCCGATTTCACTGCTAAAGTCACGGCCGTTCATCATAAGGGAACTCCACAACGCACATCCAGGCGTAGCCCGAATGAAAGCCTTGGTGCGCGATTATTGCTGGTTGCCTGGCCTAGATACAGGAATAGAGAACTATCTAAAAACATGTGGTTTGTGTCAGCAATATCAGTCAAATAAACCTCCCGGTCCGGTACACCATTGGCATTGGCTTGAAAAACCATGACAGCGCATTCATGCGGATTACTTTGGACCCATTAATGATGTATTTTTTCCTGCTGCTAATTGACGCTCATTCGAAATGGATAGATGTTTATCCCGTTGCCCACCCTACTACAGAGACAACTATGTCCAAAATGCGGTCGTCATTTGCAATATTTGGGACACCGCAGACATTCTGCGCAGAAAATGGGCCATGTTTCACTAGCAAGGAATTTGAAATATTCATGTATACCAATGGTGTCCAGCATGTCCGTACAGCTCCATATCATCCTCCTTCTAATGAGCTAGCGGAAAGGGCGGTGCAGACAATTAAGAGAGGTCTCTCAAAACGAACACCAGGAACTGTTCAGACGAGGTTAGATCGCTTGTTGTTTGCTTACAGGATAACGCCCTCGGAAGCCATTGGTAAATCACCTGCGGAGATGATGTTTGGCCGAACACTCCGTACCAGACTGGATCTTCTGTTTCCAAATCATAGAGCACAAATGGAGAGGAAACAAGACAAGGCTGCCGCATCACAAGATGACCACGACTCCAGTTGGCAGCCAGGTGATCCCGTATACACACGACTTCCCCATGAGCACTGCTGGCAACCCGCAACTGTAATCAAAGGTGACTGTACCCAAGCAGATCTTGAATTAAATGGTCGGATAGCACGGCGACACTCAGACCACATACGCTCACGTTTTGTTGGGACAACAGCAGATGAACGTCTGTGCATCATTATCCGTTCAACCGAAACGAAAGCAAACCCCCAGGATTATGTACAGTCGTCAGATGCAGGAACGCTTCGCAGATCTCAGCGTACGCATAAACCAGTTGACCGGTTCGTGCCAGGAGTATAAACATTTCCAGAGATGAGGGGATGTCACGTAGGCGAATGACTTCGATCCGTCTACTTCCGCCGTGCGCGGATTGGTTACCACTCACACACACCCCTGTCTCACTGCTCGTTTCCGTGAATATTGTACCTTCTCAATTGATTGATAAACCTGCTGTTCAGACGTCTTCTGCTTGCTGGGATTACGTATCTCGGAAGCGTGCGTTACATGCTTAGTGGCACTACGTTTTACTGCCTACTGTGGCTCCCGAGGCAGACTAAGGGTCTAGGGGAAGCTGTTTCCTGAGACCACAAGATTAGTGGTACTCTCCAGGTTAACTCTTATTTCCCTTCCTCAGCAAATTGGTGATCGAAATAATTATAAATGACTCTGTTCTTGCAGACTTTTCCGGAGTGAAAGTTCTCCCTAGGTGACAGACTGACAAACCATGAGTATGCGAGCGACATAGCTCTCTTTGAGTCTGACGCAATGCTATGCAACCATTACTGAATGTATTGATGCGGAGCACTGAAAGCTTCTAAATGTATTCTGTACCTTCAACGTGCGCTTGTTTACCTATCAGCGAACATCCAATGGAAGTCAAGGATTGGCCCACTTACCCTGGCAGTTGCCTCAGCTTTGATGGTCACATCACTGAGGAAGTTACTTCGCGTATCAACAAGGCATGTGTGGCATTTCACAGGCTCAACAATCTCAAGAAAAGGCGGTATGTCAGACTGCCAATGTAAGGTGGAGTGAACAACGCTGCGATAAGGCCAGTATGGATCAGAGACCTGACCAGTTCGTAGTGAAGAGATTAAACGCTTATGTGTTGACCACTGGTGCTTGTGGAGTATTGTGCACATCTGGCGGAAACACTGGGTGAGCAATGCTAGGATCGGTCAATGGGATTTGGGCAAGAAATCCACTGGAGCTTCCTTCAAGTGTTTTCTGAATCTTAGCCATTTACGTTGCCTAGATCATGTCCTCCGTATGACGGTCGACCTGCTTCCTAGGTGAGCATTATCCGTCATTACTGCACCAAGTTAGGAAAAAGCCCGTGGTTGTCAGTCGATGAAGTGGCATAAAGGCATAAAAAAATCGATTGAGAGACTTGGTCCGGCTGGTTCGTGCCGTTCTTGTGGATGGGGCTCCGGGATGGTCCACGTCAGTGGTTCAAGACTCTATCGGACATGGCGTCTTCGTGCAGTCAGCAGCGTTCCCGCATTTGATTTTGTTGCGGGCTGTTAGTTACTAGCTCCATTAGTTTAAGGCACTTATCTTGATTCCGCTTTCTTCGGTAATATGTTTGCGTTCAGCCTCAGTTGCTTACTGCTATCAGTCATTTTTATTCCGGAGGCATGAGTCATGGCAATTAGATCTATTGCACTTCAGTGCCCGGATTAGTTGTTCAACTGAACTGAACTGAATTGTAATCTGTGTGAAGCCGCTCGTCTGGGGAAGTTTAGATGAAGCACGTCACTTTCAGAGTTGTTAATTTGGTTGCATTCCGCTAACAGTTCCTCCAGATCACAAACAGACAGGCTCTCCGGCAATCCGAAATGAGAGTAGCAAGGATGAAGAGACAAAGCATTTCTAGCTAACCAAGGCGTGGGTTAGGCAGAAATAAGACCGAGAATTGTTACCAATGGTGACGATGATGAGAGCGGCGGGTAACAGCCAATGCGCAGACCAGGAGATATACCACTTACAGGGCGAGCAGTAAGACAACGATGAGAATTGGAATTTGGGCAACGCATGCACTTCTGAAAAATATGTCAATACTAATACGCTTCACACAGGGAACTGCGTGTATCCCTTACAATGCATCTGTGCCAACAATTTCAAATAATAAGTGTGAGGTAAATAAGTAATTAATTGTATCGGAGAAAAGGTAAAAACATAAAGGAAAACCCATTATTTGAGCAACTAATCGATGATCTTGGATCGTGCATTGATGTCGAAGATTCCCCAACCTTCCATTCCTTCACCTGATCGCCACCATACAGCGTTATGGCAGAGAGGCTGCTAATTGTACCAGTTGACCTAGTTTTCTACATGCTGAAGGTCATTGAGCCCCCTATATATTTGGTGTAGGTCTGGCGTAGTTGCACAGCGTTTTGGCGGCGTTTTTGGCTATGTTTGGTGACGTTTTTGTTAACATATTTTTCGAGGTCAAGGTCGTTGGACTTTTGATTTTTCTTCGGCTGGGCTAGAATCTTTGGGGAGAAATTTTTGTGTGTTTAATTCGGAATAGTGAGAAAACATGAAGATCTAACAAATTGAATAAACGCGACACAATTGTGCAATGTTTAATCAATTCATCGATGGGTTGAAATCGGCTTCTTATTCCACGTGCATAAAAATGCTGACTTCTTTATTCCCGCATCAAAACTGCGGCTCGCAAGCAGAAGTGTCAATCAGCGCTCCAGTGTAACTACGCACTACGGTAGATATAAGGTAACGCGAACCGAGGGGATAAGGGCACCATAGGTTAGAATTTTAGTAAATAGTTGGAATAAAATAAATTACTAATACAAACTAAAGGCTCAAAGTAACCAGTACGAAACAAGCCGTCCATTTTAATGTTAGGATGTATGAAAAGCATTAAAAATGTCCACTTCCATTTCGTGAGAACTGTTACGTTTTACTTTACATACCTCCACGGGTTGTTCTCAGACCTTAAGAATAGCGTGATGCTCGAAAAGCATTAGACGTGTTACCAGAAAATGGAGCGTTTGTAGGTCTTATTGTTCCGAGTACTGTGCTCTTGGTGGAAAGAAAGTCTACTGGAGTTAGCTTGCAACCGATAAGGTGCAGTACAAATCGCGTAGGTTTCATTAGTTGTGAAGCAGTGTAGCTCATAGTGGGAGGGACCTGATTTAAATGCTATAGGACGGTGCGGTTCTCGTAAATGTCTGCATTCGGGTTGCTTGTGCTTCAATCCAATCGCTGATCGTTGATATGCGGTATCCCAATGTCTTTCATCCATATGAAAGGCAGGCCATGTGGACGGTGGTCACCGCAACCTCTGTATTTGCTTTCCATAGAACAATTAACCCACGGTGGGGTAACCAGGAAAAGAAGTCGCACTAACGCGCATTGTGTCGTCACTGTCAGACTGACACAGGACGTTAATCAAAAACGTGAGCCAGGAGTGGTGTGTTTCGGTGATAATCTCTCTCAGCAGTTCACACCATGAGCGGTCTCGTCTTGGTTTGGACCCTTCCGGTACAGATATCATGAGCTGGGGTGAACTGCTGCATTGAGTGATACATTATGAACACCATGGACACGAAGCCGTAGAGATCCGCGAGCAGCGCCCAGGGAACTTTGGGGAAAAAACGCCATCGTTGAGCTTTTAGGATGACAGCCAAATGAGTGTAACCTAGGTGCTTAGTGTGTACCCTTTAGCTCCGTTGAAATTATCAGTCTGATAATTTTTGATGTGTTCTTTTTCTTAACATAGTAACGAAATCCCTGATCGACTGCTCAGCTATGCGTCCATATTTGCCTACTATCTGTTCAACGAATGGAATTTGCCCTCCACGTGCCACACGGGGTCAGACAAAATGATCGTGTTTTATTCGAAGGATGACGGTGTGGTAAGTCCATATTGAGTACAGTAATGAAGCATAGCTAAATGGTTCGTTATGACTGCAAAGCGATATGCGGTGATGCAACATGCTGCTTGAGTTGGTTGCCTGTCACTAAAATGCCCACGCCCGATGAAACGACGCGGGCGTGACGAGAATGCTGCGCTTCAGAGTTTCATTTTGCCCCACAACTAAGCTAAGAGTGGAAGTCTGTGAGTTGAAAATTGATCGTCTTCTCAAGTCTCATTCTATATGCCTCGCCTTAATGTTCTATAGAAAGCTACTCAATTGCACCCAATAAAGTTTAGCTCATATGTCCAAATTATTAGGATTGTTATCATTATTATTATTATTATTATTATTATTATTATTGAAATCCCATTTGTACTTCATGGAAAATGATAACAATGGTGACAACGCTGCCTTTGCAAACAAAAGCCTCATGATTGACTGCACGACACAAGAAAATCGATCATATCGACCGACGGAGGCGGTTTGTGTGAAGCCGACCGAATCCACGTTATCTGGTTGATTCCGTTAGGATTCGCCAGTCAAATTATCAACACATGATACCGCTCCGGTTGACCGACACTCAAGAACACCGCTCTGATGGCAAATAAGATTCATCAGTACACATCCGGTTATAGCAACGTTTACATTTTGAATTCGTCCTTAACTTGGCATCGGTTCATCTGCCTTGGGGCCAGGTGGGTCAAATAAAGCAAACATAATACAGATTAGTTGATCGCTTGTGTATGCAAAACCAACAAGCGCTTACGGTTTGGTTATAATGAAACAATGATGGTACATATCTCGGAATATGCTTGGAACCGGCTGTGATTTCATGATTTCAGAAGCTTTGTGTACAAATCCGTTTTGCTAGGGTTTTATTGTGGCAATGATGATGATGAAATGATGGTACATCTTGTGCAAAATGTTCGCGTGGGTTAGAAATCAAAAAGAATTTTACAGTCGGTTAACTGCGCTTATGCATAATTGTATGAACTCATCAAGTTAAGGCAAATCACGTATAACAAAAGTTGTATCCGTTGTATAGGCAACAAGTCAAAATTTATCTGTGCTCATTTCACCTCTGCCAACAGATCTACACATTTGCTGGAAACCTACTGGAGAGAAAATTATCCTCGAACAATCTCATCGATATCGCCGTTCAATCAAGAGTGTACTTTTCGAATGGAATTTATGAAGGTCTGACTTATTTAATTCAGAGGTACAGGTAAGTATAAGACCCAATACGCGTGCTCTGCTTGACATTGACTGTTCAGGGCGACGACTTCATCGACAAAATTTACCGTTCCAAACATTTAAGATAATCCAGCATCAACACTTGGATTTGGTGCAATAATTTCACATGTATTTTTTGGGGTTAAAGATCAACATCTGGAGTGTTTCTTTGGATATGCCAGTGAACAATAGTGCTCATTTCGTCATTGCAAGGATGTTTGGCGAAATATGCAAATTAAGTATGTCTAGTATCGCGCCACGTTGAGGCGGCAGAAACGGTGCAGTGGCAGTGGAAAGCCGTATAGACAAGAGAAAACTAAAAAATAATCAAGATAGCCTAAAATCCACTTTACTCACACACCCAGCATGTGACAGGTCATAGCGACAAAAATGCAGCCACACCACACTTGAGTATGGTCGCGATAGCCGTATCGGGTCACAGGTGAGTATTAGGCAGAACAAGGGCATATGGAATCTGACTTGAGTGAAATGCGTTGGTTACAGTGATGCTAGATGTACATACTAACCGAGCATGTTACCCGATTGCCAGGTGCCAAGTTGCATAATCACGTGAAATCAGAGGGCTGGTAATAACTAGCCCGCAGTTTCCAAAGGCGTGTTGTTACTGGCTCGCACTTCACGCATGTGCTCACAGTATTCGCTGATCCACAAACGATTGTTGACAGAAAAAGACACGTTAGACAATGGCTATCCTTGGTTAACCGCAGGTACTAGCATTCGCAGTCGCAACATAATTGAGAGAAAACATGGAGTTGGTAACTGCTTTGTTGCATAAGTTGAATGCTCATTGAAGAACAGATAACCTGGAGTCAATTAAACAGCGAACATATCGTCGCAACTGGTGCAGATAAAGTGGATATAAAAAAGTAGGTTTTGTGGATATGCTAAACGAATGCATACCAAAATCCAATTACCTGCGCAGCAGTGTTTGTGAATCCCTATACATGTATAATTAGACCAAACAGACTAGTAAGCATTTAGACAGGTAGTCCATCACTCTTTAACCTTGGAACAGTGCCCATAGAATAAACAGTCGAAAGAAAAAGCAATAGAGCAATAGTTTACTACGGAAAAAAGGCCAAGGCTTGACAGATCCCATGAGATGATCTTCTGAATTGCACAAATTCAAAAAGAGAAGTTACACTAAAGTTAAAATGCACATCAGTGGACTCAACCGATTATCCACGTTATCACACAAGTATGTGTGGGTTGGTGAGCACAGTGTTTATCGGCGTCTTGTCCTTACTCGATGAACAGATTTCAAATCAAGTAATACGGATGTTGCAATACATCGTCCTTTCGTATTTTTAAATGGGTACCGTGGGCGCAGAACAGATTAAGGTCAAAAGAGTGTTCCACGGTTGACAAACTCGGAAAGAAAAATAATCCCGACGGCGATCCGGTTGATTACATTGGGTGACCAGTTGAAACTGGTCACCCTTCATTTCTGTGTCACGGCTAACTTTCAAGAGGTGGCGACAAGCGTTACCGGGGTTATACAACATCTAATACGCCAGAATGAGGTCGCCCAGTAGACAGCGGTAACTTCCGCTGTACAATCCCATGGCTTTTTGGCATAGTTGGAATAGCATACGCAACAGTTTTATCGCATTTTTGGTCGCCATTCGCTTTGCGGTCTTCAGTGCAACCAGATCGCGTTTTAACCGGAGTTGCCTGACCTGAATCTCGTACCCTAGATGAAGCCTCACATATCTTTCGAGCATCTGAGGGAATATTGTGTGACCGAACCACCCTAATGCCCTCTGTAAAAAAAACCCAGCATGTTGCTTCGCGGTTTTGTAAAGCTTCAAGAACTACGTTGAAGAGCCGAGGTCACCTTGTATCACCACCGTAAGGTCACGCTCCTGGGAGGCGATCTTTAAGATGTGTTCTCAAAGCTTATATGAGTTAGTGAGCGTTTGGCTTAGCTGTACAGTTTTGCACTTGCTGACTTTGAACGGACGTAACTTTGTATCTGACCATTCAAAACACGGTCTGAGTCCCGTTGCAGCACATTGATCGCTCGCCACACCTTTACGTCATTGGCGAAAACCAAGAAAATTGTCTCGATGACCCGCGCGAGGGCGTTAATAAAGATTAAGAATAATCGCGGCTCTAATACCGCAGTCCACAACAGTAGAATCAGCAAATCAGTTCCAAACTCGAAGCCACCGCTGAAGGAGGAAATTTCCGGTCCATGCAGTTACAGGGTTCCTAATTCCGTACGTTTGCAGTGTTGGAGAATGCAATGATCGAATCAGGCGAAGAATTTGGAAATGTCGCGACAGATGACAACAATGACGATCCCACTATCGGTTGCTTCGGTCCAACTGCCGCATGTAAACCGTTTATTAGTAGTAAATGACCGATGCTGACGGAATCCGTGTTGTTTCTGCGTTATAAGGTTAGACCTTTCGAGGTAGCCCAGAAGTGCTTTAGCTATTATCAACTTGATCACCTTTGAAAGAACCGGAAGAATCGATGGGAGGGCTCCGAACGGTTACTACCCTTGAAGATCGGGATAATGATACCTTGCTTCCACACGATGGAAACCAGCACTGCATCCAAGCATCTTATGAAAAATTGCGTTTATGGCCCAGCAATCCTCTTAACTGCCACCTGCCATGCTTTCAGGGAGTGTTGTCAAAACCGGGGAGCTATAGGTGTGCAACAATAACACATTCCTCAAACCGATCGGTGAACTAAAACTTACATGTGCAAATACGGTGTTCTTGGGGAATGTGACAGGCATCTGACTAATGCTGGTTTCGCCTCGAGATATTATATTATATCGAAGCCGCAGAAGGTTGGCTGCATCCACGGCGGTTTGAGCACATCTATTTGCCGGGATGAGTGTGGGAAGACCAGCTTCCACATAACGGAGGCTGGTTACATATTTGTACGGAAAATTTTTATTGGAACAAAACGTTCCCTCTAGGCTCTGCTGGTTTGCATATTTTCCCTCATGGACACGTGTGGTACAGTGATTACGATGCACAACATAGCTGCTCCGGTTGTCAGGACCAGAGTCCGCTCTGTACACATACCACGCTGCGTCTCTTACAGCCATGCGTTTCCGCTTTCTGCTCTGAATAAGTGACGGTGTTCTTCCAGCACGAAGCAGACTGTTTACCGATGCGGATTTACTCAGATTAGTAAACTTGCCAGCAAACTCCATCCAGGCAGTATCAATGGAACAGTCGTCCAAAAATTCGCAGTTGGATTCTACAACAAATGCTGTCAGTATGTCGTGGTGTATGGTTGTTCGAAACAAGGCACTATGTTCTTGTGTATATTTCACATAATACACAACATCTAAAGTTGTGTTACGTGATCAATGAGTCCCAAAGAATTCTCTATTGTTGGTCTATCGATCATGAGCTCTTCTTTCGTGAGCAGTAAAGCATGCATGTTTCCATCTCTGAATCGGATGTGAGAACTGATATGGCTGGAGAGTAGAAGGTTTGCAATATGTTCTTGCAGATCGGCTTTGAATTGCTCGCTGGGGGATGCCGGAACTTCCAGGTCGTGAACAATGTAGTCACCTGAGATGATAAATTAGCTGTATCGTCGTCGCAGGACCCTCGCCAAGACTAATATCAAGCGGAAGTCTATCGCTGGAGTAGATGTTGGGGGACAATAAACAACTGTCACAAAGCAAGTGTCATTGTGCCTCAGTCGCAAACTGCACTAGATTGTCCATGATAGACATTTATGGATCGTCCACCGGTTCGCAATGCAGATCACTAAGGTAGCAAAAAGGTACGCCACCGTCCTTGCTGGGTCGATCGTTCCGAAAAACAGACATATCATGTATTGTGACTTCGGCGTAGGTAATTAATGAGAACAACCAATATTTTGCTGTAATTATGAGGTCCCAGGATTATGATGTTTGAGGTAGCCGCAGTTCGGCAAGGTTGTTCAGGAGATCTTGTGTAATGGTGTACATGCAAAAAAGTTTCGGTGTTCTCAGCAGTGTATGTTTCGGGTGAAATGTTGTGCCGACCGGTGAAACATCAGTCACTATGAACAAGAAACAATGATATATCACGAGTTAAAAGTAAGCGCATGACACGTCCTGTAGGATGATTATGGTGAATACAATAGATCAAAAGATATGTAAGTCATCTACCGAACGTCTATTGAGATCAATGTGTTGATACTTAGCTTTGGTGTAAAAGAGAAATCGAACGCAACCATACAGAAATACACGGTGTGTAGCGATTGTTGACGAAAAGCGTGAGAAAAGTAACATATGGTTGTCCAATTATGCGCCGCCTCCTTGGGTCCATGTGACACAGAAATCCGGTGGAAGGGCATGATTAATGTAATGCACAATGGCGTAGTTTGAACAATGAACAATGAATTATCGGTTAAGAAGCGTTGCTTTACAAGTCCGTTGGATAGTTGGTGGGGGTAAGTAATTGCTAGGAGCTAAGAGCAACATCCAATCGTTTTTTTGAAAATGTCCAAAGCAAGGGAGGATATAACTGAGTTTAAGAAATAGTTCCAGGGTTGACAAACAAGACACTCCAGACGGTTGTGTTGTCCAGTCAGTTTCTAACAGTTACCTTTGAGCTTGGCGTTGTGGCAGAGTTTTAGCAAATGGCAGCATGCGTGGTTGGGGTCAGAAAATATTTGATACACTAATACGAAATCGCCTCACAGTCTTCGGTAACGTCTGTTGCAAACTCATAGAAACTTCAGCCTTCGCTAGTTAAAGTGATTCCGTAGGCCCTTGACATACTTTGTTGCTCTTCGTTGTGGCGCCCCTAACGCTTCAAACAAGGTTACCAAGCTTGGATAGCGTGTTCAACGTGAGGGTGTACGTAAGCATTGTGCATCATTGGAAAAACTGATGGGTCAAATATGCGGAATGCCCTTCGCAGCAGGCCGACGCGCTGGTTGCCTCTTTTCGCAGTTACCTCAGCCTGTTTTGAACATTTGTGATCACTATGTACGAGCACACCT